TCTCTCTCTCTCTCTCTCTCTCTCTCTCTCTCTCTTCTCTCTTTCTCTTCTCTCTCTCTCTCTCTCTCTATATATATATATATATATATATATATATATATATATATATATATATATATATATATATATATTCTTTTACCCTCCCCCCCCCCTCATTACGTATATCTGATGGGAAAGCTTGTAATTGCTGCGCCTGCATACTAATGGTGGCAGCCATCGTGGGCTCTGTTAATTTATTAATTTGTCATGGAGCCTGTTAATTAAATCTGCAACAGATGCTCTCCCCTTTTGCGTCTGCTTATGTTAAGGCGGGCTTGTGTGCCCAGTTTGTTGATCTATCTATCTATCTATCTATCTATCTATCTATCTATCTATCTATCTATCTATCTATCTATCTATCTATCTATCTATCTATCTATCTATCTATCTATCTATCTGTCTGTCTGTCTGTCTGTCTGTCTGTCTGTCTGTCTGTCTGTCTGTCTGTCTGTCTGACATATCTATCTATCTATCTATCTATCTACCTATCTATCTATCTATCTAGGACTATCTGTCTGCCCTGTTCCCTGTCTGTCTGTCTGTCTGTCTATCTATCTATCTATCTATCTATCTATCTATCTATCTATCTAACTATCTATCTATCTATCTAACTATCTGTCTGTCTGTCTGTCTATTGACAGAAATGATGTAAGAATGGAGGGAGACCTCGAAGGGCAAAATGATAGACGGTCCTGCCTGCCCAGTTCCCATGTTTGGAGATATCCCTGTGTTTAGAGCACCCTCTTTTTCTTGTCTGTCTGTCTGTCTGTCTGTCTGTCTGTTGATGTCCTTAAAAATAAAATGCGTTCGTTCGTTCGTTCTGTCTGTCTGTCTACTTAGCTAATTAGCTAAATGTATACTATTTTCCTCTCCCCCATTTTCTAATCCGCCACAAGTTTCACATAGACATTGTCAAACATGTACATAGTTACTCTGTTTTATGCGTGTGGATGGTCTGGTTGTAAAACTGCCTGTGAAAAGGGATTTTGCTGCCTGTATGTGCCTAATCAACTCGATTTCCAGCAGCACACGGTTCAATGTGTGCAGCGACGCCTTCTTGAGTCCTTCTAGTTGTTCGCCTTTATTATGATTATTATTTAAATATTACAATCTGTAACGGGATCCGTCCGCAGTGGGTAGGGGATAATCGCTACCTTCCGACCAGAAGATCTCAGGTTCGAATCTGCACCGAGACGGATCCCCTACCCCCTTTTTCACAATTGACCTGGGCTCCCAGGTCGATGCTGTCTGAAATGGGTGCCAAGTAATATCATGGGAAGTCAAAAGGCGGTGGGCTTAATGTTGAAAACTTCACCCAGCTAGTGTTGATCGGCCTGGCAAGAAATGCGAGTCTAACATTGGATGCACCGCTGGCTAAGAAACATATCCTTCACTTGGTTTCTTCAGCATTGTGTCTGTGTACTGCTGTAGTCTGTCTTGTAAGTAACCACTGCTCACTTGTTGCGGATAATACTGCCCACCCAGAGCCCGGAGAGAGCCTGTGTGATAGTAATACTGCCCACCCAGAGCCCGGAGAGAGCCTGTGTGATAGTAATACTTCCAACTCATTGCCCGAAGAGAGCCTGTGTGATAGTAATACTGCCAACACAGTGCCCAGAGAGAGCCTGTAGGATAGTAATACTGCCAACTAGGGCTGTACCGAATATTAGCTTCGTATTCGCTTCGGGGCCGAATAGTGGACCTAATAACTATTCGGTTTTTGGCCGAATAGTTCCAGTTGGACCGAATACGAATAGTGGTTACTCTTCTCCCGTTTCTGCATATACTGTGATGGACTGAAATAACTCTCCCACAATAGTTTCTGTTGCCCTAATCTGTCGTAGTGGGGGAAACTGCGACCCGGTTGCGTGGTACAAACTGCATAAAATGCCAACCGCAGTGTGTGTGTGGTGTGCACATGTGTGAGCGTGTGTGTGTGTGTGTGGGAGAGAGAGAGGGAGAAAGAGAGAGATCATGCATTGTTTTTTTTTTTTTTTCAGGGTGTCTTCGCCCAAATCAAATTTGAAGATATTGCTAACGAGAATATGAAGGTGCGTTTAAATTACATCGAACGAACGGTCGAGCGAATGATGGTTTTGAAAGAGGCGGGAGCCCGAAGAAAACTAATCACAGACATCAGAAGGAGACAGTCGTTATTTTTCAGCCATGTTATGAGAAGAGGGAAAATGGAACTTTTGGTGACCACTGGAAAGATCTGTGAAAGGAGGGATAGAGGAAGACTACGATAGAAGATTCTTGACAGTCTTGTTGCAAGGCATGGAGATGCGACAGCACACGAACTGATACATGCTGCAGGAGTTAGCAGATTGTGTTGAGGCATGATCGCCCACGCCAGTCGGCAAGGTACCTGATGATGATGTTTTCCAAATTTCAGCGGCTTACACAAAACGTTTACTGAGTTACATACTTTTAAAGTTGAGCAGGACTTTTGGAATAGACTGTAATTCATTCTGTGGACAGAATCACTAACGGCTGATGACAATCTTTCTCCTTCTAGCAGGGACGTGTAATTTCACTTCATTGCTGACTAGTGGTGCTTGGTTACACGCTCAGCCCGGGAACAGTAAATAATTGGTCGTGTGGCGTGTTTGTTGGTCAGGCCGACATATACTTACAGGCTGCCCGGCTCTCTAGCGTAGTTGGCTAAACCGGATTGCGCGGAGACCGGGTGACGTGACGAACTCCCTGTGGTCCGGTTTCAATTCCGGGGGTAGGCAGGAAAGCCACATTTCTCCTAGATTTACGGTATTTACAATGGTATCAAGGCCGAAAGGTTGCGATATCCATAATACCGAGCCTAAGGGTTAACACCTCATGGCTTCTGGATACTAAAACAAACAATACTTACAGGCTAGCGTTTTGGCGATGTTGTAACTCTCCTGTCACCCAAGTTTACGCTTGTGCTAATCACAGTTTGAAGAAGTTCCTTTGGGTGTGAATTTGGGAGTGTCCCTGCGTTGATTATGATTGCTTTTCTCACAGCCTCCAGTACTTGTTAAAGGTGAAGCAAAAGGCCCTTTTTCAGACCTTCAGTAGTGTTGAGCATATAGTGCTAGACATATTTTATAGACCAATCGACACTTGGGGGAAAAAGGGCTGGCAAAAGGGGGGGTGGGGGGTGGGGTGATATTTATGTTTATTCGACGGCTCAACGTCATGGCCCCGGGTGATAACCCTTAAGTGCTCCCTTCTACCTCTAACTCAAGCTTGAGTCGGAAGAATCTCAGCGCAGTGCACGAACTCCGTTGCACCGGCTACTCTTTTCGATTTCCGACTGCCAAGAGATTTTTTTTTTTTTTTTTTACATGCGCAAGAATGCACACGGGCATCCGATCTTGACACCCACAAACTAAAGGAAATTACTAGAAGTCCACGTGGAAAAAAAATGCCGGCCTTTACCAGGGCTTGAACCCGGGTTTTACAGCACTCGAGGCGGACACCATGCCTCGAGACCACTCAGAGGCGCCGGTCACCTTTACTTCATAGGACGACTGACTTTCTACCCCACCAGGACATCACACAGGCGATAGACTCCCGATGACACAATGTGCCACCATGTGGGTGAGGATCGCCGTAGAGAGGTCCCAGAAACCGCGTTCAGCCTTTAGGCCATATTTATGGCCGGGCTATATTGCGTCCCCTGGCAAGAGCCAGAGTAGGGTTTCAAATAACGAACAATTTCGTTCTAAAAAGGACGGGAAGTGATTTTCATTACTTTACCTGGTACCTATTTAATTGAATTCTAGGTCTACCTGGGAAGCCATGATCATGTGTGGAAAAAGAGAACAAAGGACTGGTTCTTTCGTATTTGAACACACGACCTTCGGACCGCAGGCGATTGGTCAACTGAGTTTATTCCAGGGGCCAACATTTTGAAGACCAGAAGCCGGAGCCCATTAATGTAATACAGTTAGCAGTAATCGGCGGGCCACATGCTATGCCTCCGCCTGCCAGATTTGACCCGCGGGCCATTGGTTGAATTGCACTACAGGTTACGTCGTATCCGTCGGGTGTAACAGCAGAACCGTGTTGAACAGGGTTTTGGCATTTGTTTCTGTTGGCTTCTCTTTCGAATAGTGTCTCTTTGATCCACTGGGTATCAACATTTTAGAATGCTGTCTTTGAAGGCAGTAATTTTGAATGGAAGAAAACTATAGGTGCTTTATATAAAACTCCTCAGCAGGGGAGCGGCAACTAATAATTCAGTTTGCTGGTTACCGCGCACACCCGTATGCCATGGGGAAAACAGTTCAGACTGCACTGCTGATCTGTCTTATCAAGTGATACAAGCTCCGCTCTCCGTGTGGAATTAGTTTCTACGAGTGAGTTTTTCGAAGCTTGCTCTGCGAGTCATTTACAGTTAACAACATATAACTCTGTAGAAACACCCTACGACATGCACGGTAAAGGGGAAGGGGGGGGGTGAGGCTATTCATTTTTCTTCTGGAATACACAGGTGGGACAAGCATGTCCTAAAAGGCGATTAATTAAACGTTTGCTGAAATCTGATGTAATATACCGAAAGACGCAGATATCACAGGCAAGCTGTAAACCGCAACACAACGTATCGACCGTCATTTCATCGGTATGTGAAGAAGAAGGAGGAGAATCCGTTCCCTGAAAATATCAAACTGATGTTTACTGCTTTCGCCATATGTCTTCATTGGTGATATTTTCATTGTGGAGTTTGATTGCTAAATATGGATGTAAAGGAAGACAAACGAGAGAAGATTTGTGACAGCTCTGTTATGTTGTGTTATCACAGTCGATGTTACTGCACATGAGGCATTATCGTGCGTGCTCAGTCGTTACTCAAATATACCTGTACTGGTTGTTCCTATGAGGAGTTGTTTATTATGTCTCCTATCTCGGCATCGACGGTGGCATAGATTTGCTTCACCATGCTTCACCCCCAGGTCACGCACTCGTGTTAAGTGTCATTATCCACTAGCCAGGTCCGTACAGCGCTGATGATATCTGCTGTGTCCATACTTGTCAGCGTTGTGTCCATACTTGTCAGCGTTGTGTCCATACTTGTCAGCGCTGTGTCCATACTTGTCAGCGTTGTGTCCATACTTGTCAGCGTTGTGTCCATACTTGTCAGCGTTGTGTCCATACTTGTCAGCGCTGTGTCCATACTTGTCAGCGTTGTGTCCATACTTGTCAGCGTTGTGTCCATACTTGTCAGCGTTGTGTTCATACTTGTCAGCGCTGTGTCCATACTTGTCAGCGCTGTGTCCATACTTGTCAGCGTTGTGTCCATACTTGTCAGCGTTGTGTCCATACTTGTCAGCGCTGTGTCCATACTTGTCAGCGTTGTGTCCATACTTGTCAGCGTTGTGTCCATACTTGTCAGCGTTGTGTCCATACTTGTCAGCGTTGTGTCCATACTTGTCAGCGTTGTGTCCTGGCATGGAAGGATATCAGCATGTGAGCGATGCACAGCGTTGGGAATTGCGTCGCCGACATCAGTTGACCTTTGTTTACGTGCTTGTGTTGTTCTGGCACTAGCCCGCCAACAGTTTGGTGTTTAGTAGATACAGGGCTTTCATCTCGCCCTTACATATCCTTACTACAGCGAATGAATCATAACATCAGAGATAATATGTCTTGGAAGACATAGACAGTGCGACTTTACTGTCCGGAAGTCTGTCACTGCCTCGTTTCCCGGAAATTGTACCCTTATCACCTTTCTCTCCAGGCCATCGTGACATTTAATATCACCAAAATACCCCACCTTTTTGGACAGGGGTGCTGTTTATGAGCCAATTCTCCTTCATGCTCAGGTCGTGTAGGTGGTGGGCATTTTTCTCCTTCTTGCTCCATGGTATTCTAAGAATTTTTCTGCAGCATTTCGGTAGATTTCTTTAATGGACAGTCTTAAAGAAATGCAAGATTAGCTTATGCAAAACATGAATTAGAGCCCAATCTGTCACCCTCAGCCCACACACACCTCAGTGAAGTAATCGGAGGAAACGAAGCGTTGGAGTTTACACGAACCGTTGTTAGTCAAGAATTACTACTTCCGGGCGTAAAACTCCTGCTCCCCAGGTTCTCCAAATGAGCAGTCATTGTGTCTGATCGGTATCTGATGGCGCCACTAATCTAGGTCAGTCACGCGTCACCTCTTGTTGCCAGTAATAGATGCACTTGACCAAATTTTTTTTTTTAGATTTTGACTTGGAAGTTAGCAGGTTTGACACATCTCTCGCACGAGTTATGGAAATTCGGACGTTGTCCAGATACCAGAACTTTGCTACACCTTCTAGATATTGCAGTTTAGCTACACAGTCTAGAACTTGCAACTTAAACTACATCTGCAGGATGTTGCAACCTAGCTACATCATCTAAAAATTGCAAGTTATCTTCACCGTTAGGATATTGAAACTAAGATATACTGTCTAGATATTGCAACTTAGCTACACTATCTGAATATTGTAAGTTATCTTCACTGTTAAGATATACTGTCTAGATATTGCAACTTAGCTACACCATCTAAATATTGCAAGTTATCGTTAAAGTATCTAAATATTGCAAGTTATCAGCACCGTTAAAATATTTAAACTAAGATATACTGTCTAGATATTGCAACAAAGCAACGTCGTCTAGATATCACAACGTAGCTAACCCGGCATATTTCAATCCCACATTAAAACATTCCCCCCCTGTATCCAAAATACATAGAACCTGTTCTGCTGTACGGCAGGGGCTGAACGGTAGTGAATCTTGGAATGTCAGTGAACAAATTAAGGCTAATCTGGAAGCAACAGAGATGTGGTTTCTGAGACGAATGTTACGAATACATTGGACGGCCAGAGCAACTAACAACGATTGTTTGAAAGAAGCTAATGAAAGCAGATCTCTATACACAACAATAAGAAGGAGACATACACTGTTCTTTGGCCATGTAATGAGAAGAGAGGCATTGAAAAACGTCGTGACAACTGAATAGATCAGTGGAAAGATGGGTAGAGGCAGACCAATAGAGATGATGCTGGATGGGCTGAAACGATGACATGGAGGGATATCATCAAGAGAGCTGTTCCAGGTAACCAGGGATCGTGATCTGTGGAGATGCATGAGCGCCTACGCCAACTGGCAGGTCACACGATGATGATCCAAAATACATTTCCCCAAGTTATTCACCCGGTTTTCGGACACCTTGTAGATCAGAGCTGTCGAAACTGTGTCGCGACGCATTGGTATATCGGCTGCAGTGTGAAGCTGTGTTGTGGGAACGTAAAGCGTGAAACAGAATATTTTACAGACAACTCAGCGTTGACGCGTCCTAAAGCAATTTCATTATGTATTTAAATTGGTAACTTTGTTTTTATATCGGCTTCTAGCTTTAATTGTTAAATAGTCTGTCAAAGGGGTTGGGGGGGGGGGGGGGGATAGGTTCACTACCCCTAACAAGCAGGACGTAGAAAGCGACCGTTGCGAAATTATGTTTGTCTGAAGCGGTTTTAAGCATTGCGAACGCGCTTCTTAATGTCGGGGTGCTGTGTTCGATCCCAGCTGCAGACGATTTGGCAGCGTATCGACCTGCTGTGGTTTCGACAGTGGTACCGAAAGCTGGCCGTCCAGAAAGCAGCCACATCCTACTAGACTACTGAAAGTAAAATTGTCATAGAAAATCCCTAACAGCCACACAAAAATTCTGCCGATGGCTCTTCGACGTCCTGTAAAGGATGCGTAACTAACTTAAAACGTGTGTCACTAACATCAACAGTTTTGAAAGCTCTGCCACGGCCTGTAAAGGATGCGTTACTAACTTAAATCGTGTGTCACTAACATAACAAGTTTGGTAAGCTCTTATTTAGATGCTGAGACCGCGCTAACTTAGGGGGCGTGTGTAAAAGACATTGCAACTTGAACTGGCAACAATCATGTCACCTGATACTTTCTGTAATTAGACTGGCACTGGCTGAGGCTGTTGCCTCATTGTTTGTTTGTTTGTTACAGCACGCAAGACATGTGATGTATGTCTGCTCTTAGTAGTTACAGGGCGCGAGACTGTGATACATGATTTTTCTCATTGACGTGTTACTTACTGTTAGAGTTTGGTTAATTATTTAAGTTATTTTCTAATTTATATCGTCATTATAAGTGATAATACGGAGAGGGGAGGGTGTGGAATATTAATTGGATAGTGTGAGTACAAGGCCAATAAACCAACCTGCTCTGCACTACTAGGTCACTTTGTAACCGTTTTGTGCTGGCTTCAATATAACTGTTATATGGCTCACTGTCGTCTGTAACGTATATGTATAATTTTAAAAAAAATTAATATTTGTTATCTCTCTCTCTCTCTCTCTCTCTCTCTCTCTTATGTGAGTATATCATTTGCGAATGTCAGCATCCTCCTGGTGCTTGGTTTGCAATCTTGTTCATATTTGCACCTAAGTCCTCAGTCATAAAGCAAGACCAAAGTCCACAAGTGGACGAACAACAGAACTTTCGTGTGTGTGTGTGTGTACATCTTTTTGTCAGCAAAATCATTTACCTAGCATTCCTGCACAGGTTGCGACTTCCAGAGGAGAAGGCGGGTCTGGAGAAAGACCTACCGCCCTTCACAAGCAAGTCATCAAAGGCAACTAATTAAGAATATTCTGTAATTAATCGGATGTGTTCGGTCGAAAGGTGTAGATGTTGCTGATTGGCTCTAAACCACAACACTGTGTACCAACCACCCCTTTTTTTTTAAAGAAGAAGTGAAAGAAGTTATTAATTTTTAATTTTAAAAAATCTTTTTTTTTATATTGGCGCTTGTTAACTTTTGAAGTCGACCCAGCTTCTTAAAGATGTACATTTTAAGGTTCTAGTTTCGAGGTGTACAGCTGTCAGCGTGATACTGACAGCATCCATCAAGGCCGGATAGGCCAGAAGATTACGAGCTTGCCGCCATATGTTCGGTATATTGGCGTGGCCTGGAAAATCAGCAGTCCTGGGGGGTTTTACCGCGTACATTTTCACCCAGTAAAGAGCTACATTGAACTAGTCTTCTTCTTTTTCTTCTTTTTCTTCTTTTTCTTCTTCTTCTTCTTCTTCTTCTTCTTCTTCTTCTTCTTCTTCTTCTTCTTTTTCTTCTTCTTCTTCTTCTTCTTCTTCTTCTTCTCCTTCTTTTTCACCGGCTGTAAACTCTAGCAGAAAGTCCATGTTGATCTTCCGCTCCTTGATTTTGCTCATGTTCATGGCTTGTGTTTTGCATGCCCATCCGCTTTACAGATCTGGCTTAAATTTGGCGTGATGATGGTCTTTTTGTGCCTGCATGCTGTTTGTTCACTTGCAAAGGGCTTTAACAATATATGGGTAATTTTCCCAGAGAAAATATCTAAAAGACGCTAGCTACTGGGGTCTCTGAAGGATACTGCATTTCTGGTCAAACAATTATTATTTTCTCCGAGAATCAACTTGTGAACTGTATTATATTACATCAAGTAATGTTTGTTTAAAGAGGAGTTTTGAGTTGGGTTAAAGGACAACATTGAAGTTACATTCGAAATGGCCAGCGGAGACACAATTGCCAGGCCTCGACCTGTCTCACTGGTAAGACTTAGCAGTGTAATATCCCATGTGTTTTGTTTTCCTAATTTTACTTCTTCTTCTTGTTTTTCTTCATTTTTTCTTCTTTCTTTTTCTTCTTCTTCTTGCCCCTCCTCGTCACTTCAGCCCTTTGCCTTTAAAAGGGTCACTGGCATGTGGTGCTCCAAGGAATATTTTTTTTCTGGGATTTGCTTTATTTGGACTCGCAAATAAATAGTGGCTCGTTGAGTCACAGCTTGATCCTAGGAGGGGGAAATACAGAAATAGGATGTTTGTAAAGGACAGTAAAACTACTTTGAAATTGAATGTTTCATGTGTTTTCTTGTCTGTCAGGACATTGTTGTAAAACATTTTGCTCTCTTGATTTATTACGATTTCATCACCAATAAAAATATTGACTGCAACATTCGATGAGGGCTTTTTAGTGAGACCGATGACCATGGTGTCTGGAGTACCTACAGTTTTATAGGTCAAATGTTCAGTTAAAAATAAAATAAAGTGTTTGAAATTGTTGGTGCATATTATACACATAATTTAATATTATCAGCAGATCTGTGCCAAGAAAAGATATAAATCTGAACAAAAAAGTATATCATCATACTGCACAATATAACAAACACAAACAAAAAGTGAACGCTGCGGCTATGGGGCCTTCATCAGCACATACACGAATAAAACAATACCATACAAATACACAAAATCACTTAGCTTAGTATCTTTAAGCAGCCAGGTCGATGTCTTGCCAGTATTATGTGCCAGATTTGCTAGAGATGGGAAACTTTTTCTGGCAATCGGAGGACTCTTGTTGTGCTCGCATGATTTTACTTCAGAATTAAACTATTCTCATTTTTAAATGCTTTTTGTCTTAATCCTTGTAAATATTGTAAACTATATAGAAGATGCCTTTCCACGGTTGAACAGAAAAGTATACCAAGGATTGTGTGATAGTCTGTCCATCTGGATGGCCCTTAGTCTTACCTGTCGGCATCTGTGGCTTAAGCGTTGCAAACGCGCTTCTTAATGCCGGGGTGTCAGGTTCATTCCCAGCTGTGGACCATTTATCTTGAGCTGGTTTCGTCAGTGGTACCGAGAGCTGACCATTCAGAACTACTGAACGTAAAATTTTCCTGGGAAGAACAACAACAGCCAAAAAATGCTGAAGTTGGTTCTGCAGCGTCCTGTAAAGGATTCACAACTTACTTTTTTCAGTCTTACCTGGCAACTGATCTAGGAGGAAAGCTCACACAGGTGGACAAATAGTACACTGCTCTTCTGATCTCACATCTTCTGCAGCCTACTGTGTTCCAGATGTGTTACCTTTCCTTTGGAGTTAACAAAGCAGGATGGGAGGGGCAGCACATGGTTTCTACAATACTATCCAGGCTTTGTGCAATAGAGAGGATGTATTTCCTCCTTGGTGAGCAGGTCTGGTTTGCCACACTTGCCATCAGCCATAACCAGTCATTCCGTGCTCCCTGTAGCACATATAACACTATCATCCAGAAAGACAGAAAGCTGCCAAAAATATCTCTTTGGATGTTAATATCTTTGGATATTGTTTGGGAAAGATAGTAATCCGTATTGTATACATCAATCCACAGCTGAACAGAAAAGTATATCTAGGATTGTATGATAGTCGATCCTGGCCAGAACCGGACTCACGAGATGAACAGAGAGTACGCGACTATATGGTGCAGAAATATGAGAACAAACGCTGGTACGTAGCACCCACAGACGCCATGCGGGAGGAGGCCAAACGGGCCAATGAGGCAGCCCTGAACAGCAAACCACAGGTCAAGCCCTTGCGATCACTTCTAGGAGAAAATGCACCCAAATTAGTCGGACCCAGTCAGGTTAGTCAAATGAGTTCTATATTTTTCTAAACATAGAATATTATGGTATATCTCATTCATTTTTTGAAGTAAGTGCTTAGTAGAACCTCACTTAGGGACTGTTTGGAAATGGACAGGCTGGCTGCTTCTGTAGTAATTGGTGGTGAATTTATGCATGACAAGTTAGATAAGATAATTGGGGTCCTAATGGAGCAATGATGCGCAATACAAGACTCTTAATGTCTATTAGCCTCTCTTGCTCAAGCCTACCTCACCTTCACGCGGTGGACCCTGTTCTTCCCAGCAATCCAGTTGAAGGTTGGGGTCTCAACCCCCAGCGGGAAACTGGATGGGACAACAAACGAGGTAAAGGCGAAAGACAAAGGGATGAGCCTACTCTCCTCGAGTATGACCACAGTCTACCCTAGCAAAACAAGGTGCTGAAGTCGGAGGCAACCAGCCAGGAGGCGCACCACAGCAATCAGGATGCCACGCACACACGAAGAAGAAGATAAGATAATTGGTCTCTTTGTGTGATGATCTCAGCAGGCAGCCAGCCTTTTCAGCGCAGAAAGACTGAACTATTTAGATAAAACCAGATGGACTGATGCTGTTCCTCTTATTTCGTGTATGTCATTTTTCCTTCTTGGGTTTGCCCTTTAAAACATACAGTGGTGGCACATTGTATTTTGGTTTACAGGTAGACTACAGTTTCTGCACCTTCTGGTCCAGCAGATCAGATTTAATTAAATCCTTAATTAGTCGCCTTTTGTGACTTGCTTGTTAAAGATAGTGGGTTACCCCCCCTCCATCCAGGCCCCAGAACTCAAATGAGAAAGAATGTATTTCTTGTCTTTATCAGCTGTAGATTATGAATGTTTCTCTACGCTTCATTTCAAAAGCCTTAGTTTTCTGCTCTAGTGTTAGTGAAATAGTCCCTGGCAGTATCTGTCTGTTGCCACAGCGTATACTTTATACTGTTAGTGTTGTCCTGTAGGCTTTTAATGCTGACTCAAAGCCATATTTCTCCACAGATCCAGTCTGCAAGCCATGTCCCTACACAGGTATCAGTACCACTCCCAGGTGGGTTCAAATCCTCCCCTGTCACAGCCTCACAGGTGCCGACCCCAGCCACTGCTGCATCCACAAAGCAGCCCTCTGCGTTTGACCTCCTCAGTGATCTAGGAGGTGATCCGTTTGCATCAAGTGCTCCTGCCAGTAGCAACAATGGAGATGGTATGTCTGCTAGAAGGCAAACCTTAGGCTAGTGCATGATTCTTGAACATCTGGGTTTTATCCTTCTTCATCATTGTTTTTTTATTTTTTTATTTTTTTTTTAAAATCTCATTGCATATAACATGTCTGCCTCTGTTGTCTTTTTCTTCACTTCCTCTTTTTTACTTATCTGGGTGTCAAGAGAGATATGAGGCTGTACATCTTGCTTTTTTGGGGAGGGGGGGGGGGTGCTCGACCATCGACACATCATATTTTGTAGTTTCTCTGATGCTGTCGTTCCATCTTGTTCTTGGTCTACCTTGTGCTGTATGTTCCTCTGCTCTTGTGGTATATGCCATCTCTAAGTGGGCAAACCATTGTATTTGCTGTCTTTGTTTGTGATTGAGCATTGGTTCGGTGCTGATTTGTTTCTCTTATGACTTCTTTCCTGACTTTTAACTCTTCTGGTCACTTCTGCAGCCTTTCTCTGACATCTTATTTTTCAGCTTCTTCTTCTCCTCTTCCTTCTCCTACTCTAGTCCTGTTCTACCTGTTAGTGTCAGTTTTTTTATAGGTGTCAGGTGAGGGCCATGGTATGTGCTGTGTAGATGCTGATATTTTCAAATTGTGATATTCCATCTATCCATCGATAATGTGGTCGACCTCTAGATTTGATTCATTTTGTGTGAGTGACATTTTGTCTGTTTTGCACAATCTGAGGGTATTTTTGACACATGTCCAAACCATTTGATCTGTTGTCTCTTGATGTATTCCGTAAGTATCAGTCCAGTTTCTTTACTTATTGTTTCTTTGGGCAAGAATTAAACCACTGCCGGCTTCCTTGGCCTCTCAAAGTTTAGGGAGTATTTAAGAAGATGGATCCCATCCCACCAGGTGAACCAGAGCCCCGTTATCCTAAGACCTCACAACCTCAGTCTATCTATATTTCTGTTGTTACGAAATTCCTTTTTGTCTTCCCAATCTGTGTTATTATGTTTCCAGTTCCCCCTCAAAATTGGGGTCACATCTCTTAATGGTGAAATTCAATAAAAATGTTTACTTTTTTTGAATTTAATTAAAACAGACACAGACTGTATATTACATATGTTGCTGTGTATGGTTTAGTGCACTACTACAGAATTTACAACAACATAAAATGAAGCATAAAACAAGAATCCATGTATGGTCAATCTTAGACTTCCATGGTCATCACCAGACCTCCGTGGTCATCACTAGACTTCCGTGGTCATCACTAGACTTCCGTGGTCATCACTAGACTTCCGTGGTCATCATTAGACTTCCATGGTCATCACTAGACTTCCGTGGTCATCACTAGACTTCCGTGGTCATCACTAGACTTCCGTGGTCATCATTAGACTTCCATGGTCATCACTAGACTTCCGTGGTCATCATTAGACTTCCATGGTCATCACTAGACTTCCATGGTCATCACTAGACTTCCGTGGTCATCACTAGACCTCCGTGGTCATCACTAGACCTCCGTGGTCATCATTAGACTTCCATGGTCATCACTAGACTTCCATGGTCATCACTAGACTTCTGTGGTCATCACTAGACCTCCGTGGTCATCACTAGACCTCCGTGGTCATCACTAGACTTCTGTGGTCATCACTAGACTTCTGTGGTCATCACTAGACTTCCGTGGTCATCACTAGACTTCCATGGTCATCACTAGACTTCCATGGTCATCACTAGACTTCCGTGGTCATCACTAGACCTCCGTGGTCATCACTAGACTTCCGTGGTCATCATTAGACTTCCATGGTCATCACTAGACTTCCGTGGTCATCACTAGACTTCTGTGGTCATCATTAGACTTCCGTGGTCATCACTAGACTTCCATGGTCATCACTACACTTCCGTGGTCATCACTAGACCTCCGTGGTCATCATTAGACTTCCGTGGTCATCACTAGACTTCCGTGGTCATCACTAGACTTCCGTGGTCATCACTAGACCTCCGTGGTCATCACTAGACCTCCGTGGTCATCACTAGACCTCCGTGGTCATCACTAGACCTCCGTGGTCATCACTAGACCTCCGTGGTCATCACTAGACTTCCGTGGTCATCACTAGACTTCCGTGGTCATCACTAGACTTCCGTGGTCATCACTAGACTTCCGTGGTCATCACTAGACTTCCGTGGTCATCACTAGACTTCCGTGGTCATCACTAGACCTCCGTGGTCATCACTAGACCTCCGTGGTCATCACTAGACTTCCATGGTCATCACTAGACCTCTGTGGTCATCACTAGACCTCCGTGGTCATCACTAGACTTCCGTGGTCATCACTAGACTTCCGTGGTCATCACTAGACTTCCGTGGTCATCACTAGACCTCCGTGGTCATCACTAGACCTCCGTGGTCATCACTAGACCTCCGTGGTCATCACTAGACCTCCGTGGTCATCACTAGACCTCCATGGTCATCACTAGACCTCCATGGTCATCACTAGACTTCCGTGGTCATCACTAGACCTCCGTGGTCATCACTAGACCTCCATGGTCATCACTAGACTTCCATGGTCATCACTAGACTTCCGTGGTCATCACTAGACTTCCGTGGTCATCACTAGACTTCCATGGTCATCACTAGACTTCCATGGTCATCACTAGACTTCCATGGTCATCACTAGACTTCCATGGTCATCACTAGACTTCCATGGTCATCACTAGACTTCCGTGGTCATCACTAGACCTCCGTGGTCATCACTAGACCTCCATGGTCATCACTAGACTTCCATGGTCATCACTAGACTTCCGTGGTCATCACTAGACTTCCGTGGTCATCACTACACTTCCATGGTCATCACTAGACTTCCATGGTCATCACTAGACTTCCATGGTCATCACTAGACTTCCATGGTCATCACTAGACTTCCGTGGTCATCACTAGACTTCCGTGGTCATCACTAGACCTCTGTGGTCATCACTAGACCTCCGTGGTCATCACTAGACTTCCGTGGTCATCACTAGACCTCCGTGGTCATCACCAGACTTCCATGGTCATCATTAGACTTCCATGGTCATCATTAGACTTCCATGGTCATCACTAGACTTCCGTGGTCATCACTAGACCTCCATGGTCATCACTAGACTTCCGTGGTCATCATTAGACTTCCGTGGTCATCATTAGACTTCCATGGTCATCACTAGACTTCCGTGGTCATCACTAGACCTCCATGGTCATCACTAGACTTCCGTGGTCATCACTAGACTTCCGTGGTCATCACTAGACCTCCATGGTCATCACTAGACTTCCGTGGTCATCACTAGACTTCCGTGGTCATCACTAGACCTCCGTGGTCATCACTAGACCTCCATGGTCATCACTAGACCTCCGTGGTCATCACTAGACTTCCATGGTCATCACTAGACTTCCGTGGTCATCACTAGACCTCCGTGTTCAACACTAGACTTTCGTGGTCATCGCTAGACTTCCATGGTCATCACTAGACCTCCATGGTCATCACTAGACTTCTGTGGTCATCACTAGACTTCTGTGGTCATCACTAGACCTCCATGGTCATCACTAGACTTCCGTGGTCATCACTAGACCTCCATGGTCATCACTAGACTTCTGTGGTCATCACTAGACTTCCATGGTCATCACTAGACTTCCATGGTCATCACTAGACTTCTGTGGTCATCACTAGACTTCTGTGGTCATCACTAGACTTCCATGGTCATCACTAGACTTCTGTGGTCATCACTAGACTTCTGTGGTCATCACTAGACTTCTGTGGTCATCACTAGACTTCTGTGGTCATCACTAGACTTCCATGGTCATCACTAGACTTCTGTGGTCATCACTAGACTTCTGTGGTCATCACTAGACTTCTGTGGTCATCACTAGACCTCCGTGGTCAATCTTAGACTTCCGTGGTCATCACTAGACCTCCGTGGTCATCACTAGACTTCTATGGTCATCACTAGACTTCCGTTGTCATCACTAGACTTCCGTGGTCATCACATAATGACTATTCTAGCATTCCCTGGCTGTAGACTCGTGGGCAAAGTTCTGGTTGTCTGTCCACTTCTGGAAGTCAGTCTTGTTTCACAACTGGCATTTTTCATGCACATCTAGTTTACAGATCTGGTTTACGTATGTGCAGACTGTTGGTTCATCACCACTCAGGCAAATATGCTCTGACTTCAGAGTAAAAATCCCTAATCAGTCACTTTTTATGACATACTTATTAGGGAGGCAGTAGGTCTGTTTTGGTTTGCCCTGAAAGATGGGGCCCTCTAGAATCCACAGGAGAACCTTCTCACAGTAATTAACCTAGCTCTGTGAGGTGATTAGCTGAAGCTAAGTATCAGGAAAGATCCTGGAGTGTAAAGGTCGCTGGTATGCTGTTGACCACATCGCCTTTTAAATACCAATATTTGTTTCCCTCAGTGTTTTTGCTTCTCTTTCATCTTATAATTTCACATATTTTCATTTGTCATACAGAGGTCAGAGTTGTGTCACATCTTGTGTTCTCTAATAAACAGCCCCTTTATGCCTGAAGATCTTGTATTCGGGTCTGCATCTGGTGGAATGTTTTCAATAATCTAGGGCTCCTAGGTGGACCCAGCCTAAAATGGAAACCAGGAGTTGTCCTGGGAAGTAAAGGTGGCAGGTGTGATGTTGACCATCTTACCTATCCAGAGTTAATTGGTCTGTAAAATATGGATTGAATACTGTATATGCAGTAAGCCACAACTCGTGGCACAACCAAAATTTAAAGCCATTAAACATGGTGCGGATGAAACCAGACCAGTTGTAACTAAGGCAATTCTCAGCAGGATTGAATTTGGTTAGACTTTTTCTGCCACCAAACTCACAACACCAATAGTATTATATGCCTTTCTTCTTCTTCTTCTTCTTCTTCTTCTTCTTCTTCTTCTTCTTTCTTCTTCTTCTTCTTCTTCTTCTTCTTCATCATCTTTTTCTTCTTCACTTCCTCTTTTACTGCTTTGGGTGTTGCGGGAGATATAAGGTTTTGCTTCTTGCTCTTCTGGCCACTTCAACCATAGACACATTGTGTAGAACCTGTACTGTAATTTTTTTTCTTCAGCTCCACTCCAACCATTGGGCAGAACCCAAGCCACTACCACTGCCCCAGTCTCCCAGCCCCCTGCCCAGCCCACAGGTTCAAGTGGAGATAAATATGCTGCCCTCGCTGATCTGGACAGTGCATTCTCAGCACCGGTGACAACTGCAACATCAATCAACTGGGGAGGATTAGATGGAGGCATAATCAACTGGGGAGGTACCAGCAGCACAGCAGGTAGGGCACATTTACCCAGCCAGACAATCTTTTCACTGTCTTATTTATTAAATTTTTTTTTTTTTTTTTAAATGAAGAGTTCTTGAAAGAAACTGACTCCTAAAGGGAACTAATTGCCCACTTCAGAAGGAGACAATCTAGAACTAATTGGCAACATCAGAAAAAGACAATCTACATTCTTTGGTCATGTGATGAGAGGGAGAAAGCTGGGGTACATTGTGACAGTGGGAAAGTTGGAAGGGAGGAGAGGCAGGGGGAGACCAAGAGAAAAGATGCTGGACAGTTTGACATCATGCCGTGAAGGATCATTTGTGTCAGAGTTGATTGAAAGTACACAAGAAAGAAGGTTGTGGATAGATGGGGCTATCAACGCCACATGGCATGAACTTTAAGAAGAAGAAGAAGTGTTTGTTTTAGGGTTTTCTCCCTGAATGTTTAATTTTTTGGGGGGTCTGCCTTTATTTGTATTCATGGAAAAGATGTAAATAGTACCGCTGTTTTATATTTTTAAAAAAAATAAAAAAACATTATTGTTGGGAACTGGATGAACAAAGAAGAAGAAAACTCTAAAGTTCTAGCCAACTCTCTAGAAACTTGTAAAACTTGTAATCACTGTACAACTCTAAATTTTTAACTCTAATGTCTAAATTAGTACTGTTGTGTGGAGTAGAAACATGGAGAACAGTTAAGGCAATGAGTAATAAACTACAAATGTTCATTAACTGATGTCTGCGCAGAACTGAGGGAATTAAATGGTTTGATAGAATCACTGATGTAAAGCGTTGGGCGAGAAATTCCAGTGAATCAAAGGGTAAAGAAAAGACTGGCGTTAGATAGGATACACGTTGAGAATAGCATAAGAACAATATGACTAGAATGTCTTTGCACTGAAACCCTATAGGCATAGAAATAAAGGAAGACGTCTATAAAAACATCTATAGAAGGGAGCTAGAGAGTCAAATGAAAAAGATGGGGGTGGGGGGGGGGAGCTGGGATGGTGGGTAGGGACGTGATGGGGGGTGGTGGGGGGGGGGGGGGCTCCATAGGGGTTAGAGGGGCAAAAGAAGAAAATAACTAAAGAATCACTGAATTATAAACTGTATTGTAACTATGCTACCTTGTAATCAAACTTGTCTTTTAGACATTTCAAATCTGTAAGACTTGAAACTCTAAAAGTATTATCCATCTGAACTCTTTGAGTAAATCATACGTTATTGTAACTGCCTAGAAATACCTTGTAACTCATGACTTGTCTTTTTAAACGTTTCTGTATCTGTACCCCCTTTGAAATGCTAAACCCCTGGGTACTCAAATCTGTTAAATCTGAAACAACAGCTAACTCAAATTATTTTGTAACACTGAATAAAGCTAGCACCTTATTACTATATCACCTGCCGTTAAACTGAAAAGCATTCCCATCAGTCTAAACTGGCATGTAACTCTAAGCCTGTGTTCACCAACAAGGAACTCCCTCACAGAGTGCAGCCGGTATCAGCTGGAGCGGCACCAGCACGGCTCCCGTCAGCTGGAACAGTCCAGGTGCTGGTGGCATTCCTGCGGGAGCTTCAGTCCAAACTGCTGGTTATGGAGCACATTCTACAGGTGAGCTGCTGCAGGGAATGTTACCTTGGGTCGGGGGAATTAATTTGCGATTGGCTATCCCCGAGGAGTAGTGTTAGCAGAGTTTTGATTGGCTGCGCAGCACAAGAGAAAAGTTCTGGCAGAGTTTTGATTGGTTGCACAACTCATGGGGATAGTGTTAACAGTTTTGATTGGTTACACATCTGAGGGGATAGAGTCGCTCACTACCTTGTGTGACAGTGATCAATAAACTTGTATTTTTCAAAATTACACCCAGTTAACTGTATGCTTTTCTTAGTCCACTATTTGTACAGATTTAAAATTGAACACAAAATTACTCTTAAGTTGCAAATAGAACCTGTACACATGCTATTGAACTCCGTGAGTCCCAATCAACGCATCATACGTTCATAGGTTCCAACCTAGAGGCCCAGAAACGCCAGGTGCGCCGATTTTACATCTCTCTTGACTACTCCTTGGGCCTCTGGTGCTAAACCCCCTGGGACTCAAAAGAGTTAATGTTGGGCTTTTTTTACTTTCTAAAATAGTTTCCTAATGATAAAATTAGTTTTCCCTTTGTGTGTTATTTGTTTAGTATATGTTATATTTTAATTCTACTAATATTCTTAAGTTTCATACCATTTGTTGTCTGCACATCAAATCATCACACATCATCTCTTAGTTATCCTTTTGTTTAATGTCGTGGTTTATTTTTTTTTTTTTTTTAGTTGATTAGTCTGTTAGTCGGCAAATCATACTCATTGCACTCCAGCCATTTAGTCCATAATTGCTCTAATCCCCTCCTTGTTAAATCCCTCAGCATATGGTTGCTGACCATACCAGTTATATTGATTTGATATATAATGCTTGAAAGGTTTTTCATTTTTATTTCTTAATTCTACATTTGATTTTTATTTGATTTGATGTGAGAACTTATTTAGTTCATATCGTTTTCAACAACAGCAAAAACCATTGAAATCTCTGTAATTCTTTAAATAAAAAAAAAAAAAACATTTAAATCTTCTCTAATTCTTTAACTTTTTGAATACTAAAGAACACGTCACATGTCAATTTGCAACTAATATGTCTGGTACCAAAAGAGTTGATGAGCAGTTCTGTGATTTCAGGATAGTTAGTGATTTTCACAATTTCATATTCCATGTACCAGGTTTTAGTTTTCCATGGCAGATAGTTTATTTTTGGAGAAAAAAAAATGGTTCTTGGGGCATTCGGGCGGTGATACGAGAACCATGGCATTTGGACAGTGGTATGAGAACCCTAGCATTTGGACAGTGATACGAGCACCCTGGCATTCGGACAGTGATTAAGACCTCACCATGTAATATTCCCATAGACAACAATGGATGCACTTTATTCAGCTACGTTGTGGAAATAGCACACAGTTATGTATTGTTTAAAAATAATAATAATAGAGGAGCGGTTACAACATCCAGCTCTCATGCGGGAGACCTGAGTTCGACCACCGGAAAGGTGATTAATTAAGTCTTTCTGTGGGGGGGGGAAATTAAAAAGTCCTAACCTGCAAAATCTGTGGTGACAGCACTAGCTAGGTGGCCCTAAATCCTCAGGCTCAAGGCTCCCCCCCCCCCACCTAAACCGCACTAAAAGTGGTAAAACTGACAGTAGTGATAATTTAATAATAATACATTATTCGACTTTTATAGATTTACTATTTGAACATATTTAATGTGCATCATTTTCTGAAAATACATGTTAATATTCTTTTTAAATTTTCTATTAAAATCCTTTACTTACATATTGTTACAGGCTTTTTTTTTTTTTTTAAATAAGCTTATATTAAGGCTGCTTTTGTTTGTCTTGTACAGTTTTGCCTTTGATTTACTTTTTAATCATAAAAAAATGTGTTTATGTTTGTCTATAATTATCGGCTTGACTTTCATGTAAATATTGATTGCTTTTGTTTTGGAACTACGTTAAGTTCACAATTGCATTATTTTGGGGAATTTGTGAGGTGGTTACAGAAGCTACAGGGTTCATGATGTGCATGATGTCTTTGGCAGCTGGCTGGTCTCTCTGTGAAGAGAAGCTGACCCAGTTGGGAGAGAAACATGTGCAGTGATGTTGATCCTCTCACAGCTTGTATTTAACTATAACCACTTCTGATGTTTGGATTTAGATTTCCTGCTTCTTCTTCTTCATATTTAACTATAACCACTTCTGATGTTTGGATTTAGATTTCCTGCTTCTTCTTCTTCATATTTAACTATAACCACTTCTGATGTTTGGATTTAGATTTCCTGCTTCTTCTTCTTCACTTCCTCTTCTACCACTTCAGGGTCTCTAGGGAGAGCCAAGGTTCTGCTGCTTGCTCCCCTGGCTGCCTCAACCGTAGAAACATTTCTCCTATGTTATCTTTCCATTTTCTTCTTGGTCTACCTCATGATTGCGTCCTTCTCATCTTTTAGTATAGCCTTATATGGTGTGGTGTCGCAAAGTTGTCTCTCTGAGGGGGCAACTGTTGATCTGTAAGATCTCCTTGATCTGTTCTCTGTTAATGACAAATATTGGGTAGCGTATTTCAAACCAGACATGCCATATTGTGCCAAACATGGCTTCAGGCGGAGGAGCACATTGTACTAGCTGTATCCTGAAAGTGCTCTCACATGTGGACAGACAGACAGATCATTGTTCTGCTGATCCAGCAGCTTCTGCAGCATGCTTTATCCCAAACATATTGGTGTTGTCTTTTCTTTGGAGTAAACAAGGCAATACTGCTCTATGGTAGGCAGACTCAACCATCGTCATGTGCTGTGATTCCCAGCCTCCCTATAGCACAGGGCTGTTCAGTTTCACTCTGGGGCCAGAATTTTTAAAATTAGTATTACCACTGGCCAGAGTGCTGTACCTGAGCATGAAAAGTTCAGTGATTCAGTATAATTAGAATTAGTTTGTTTGCCACTTACTAGGTGGTTACTGTCCAGATTCTGCCTGCAGAATGCCACAATAGCCCTGCTTTTGCACAATATAAGGCTGTTGTCTGGAAAGACATTAAAGGTGCCAACCATAGTAATATATACTCCATTGCCATCTGGCAAGACTAGTAATAAAGATAATTTTTAACTAGGAGAAACCTGTCCCATGTGGCAAGCCAGTGCCCTGTTAGCACTAAATACAGCATAAAATGTGACTAAACAGCTCATCAGAGGGAATTTAAAAAATATGCAAATACAGCCAAACATTTCGACCAAAGTTTTTATTAACAAACTCACTGCAGCCCAAACTTTGACTGGAAACCTCAACATGTAAAAAAAAAAAAAAACTATAGGGAAAATGGACATGAAGGGCTATATATGGGGAAAAAAAACTGTAAGAAGGTGTTTGAATAAACACTGGGCAAGATAGAACAAGTTAAATGAATGGGAAAAAAAAATGGGGTAGAGATTAGCTGAATATTGATCCCTGCACACCAGAGTTGAATGAAAAAGCAGTTAACTCCGTAACTAAACTTTTTTTTTTTTTCTCAGCATTCCGAGCCCTTGAGGTTCATTGCTGCAGATAACACCTTACTCCATTCATCTCTCTGGTTGGTCTTCTCTTTCCAGTTGGTAACACCAAGTGTTTGCAGTTCTGTCTGGACATTATCTCTCCATCATCTTCTTCGTCAGCGACCATTCATCTCCCTTCTGTATACAGTCTTTACTTCTCTATCATGTGAAATTCTTTCAGTATGCCCCAACCAGTTCAGTCTATTAGCTCACCATAACTAAACAGTCAAGAAAATTAATGCAGAGATTAACCATGCCATAACTAAACAGATAAGGAAGTTAATACAGTACCTAGCACTATAAAGTTGTTACCCACACCACAACTAAACAGGTAAGAAAGTTATTGCAGATATTACCCATACCATAACTAAACAATAAAGAAGCTTATACAGCTATTACCCAAACTACAGCTAAGCAGATAGTAAAGTTAATGCAGACATTACCCACACCATAACTAAACAATAAGGACGTTGATGCAGACATTACCCATACCATAACTGAACAATATATAAAGTTAATACAGATATTAAACAGCACCATAACTCAACAGATAATTAAATTAACACTACCATTGATTCCGTATCTTTTACTCTGAAGCATATTCTCCACTCGGGAAGCCTGGAAATCCATTTCTCAACTCCAGGGGTAAAGCTGCATGTTTCACTATTTGACAACATGCCTTGTCGCTCTTTCTAACAGTGTGCATCATCAGAGACTTTGTTCTGCTCAGTCTTTGTATACTAGCAGCATTTGATAGTCTCATGCTTTGTTTTGTATGACATGATACTGCTAGTGTGTAGTTCTTTGATCTCGCATTTGACAATAATTGATTCTTTTCTGTAGTTTTTGTTATATGTGATTGATGACTGTTTCTGTTATCCTGCATTTTACAGTAACTCATTACTTTCTGTAGAGTTGTTGATAACTATTTTCTTTTTTTTTTCCTGCATTTAACAGTAACTCATTCATTTGTGTAAAGTTATTATTTGACTATTTCTGTTATCCTGCATTATGCAGTAACTCACTTCTTTTCTGTAAAGTTATTGGTGACTATTTCTGTTATCCTGCATTATACAGTAACTCATTTTTATCCTGTAAATTTATTGATGACTATTTCTGTTATCCTGCATTATACAGTAACTCATTTTTTTCTGTAAAGTTATTGGTGACTTTTTCTGTTATCCTGCATTATACAGTAACTCATTTTATCCTGTAAAGTTATTGATGACTATTTCTGTTATCCTGCATTATACAGTAACTCATTTTTATCCTGTAAAGTTATTGGTGACTATTTCTGTTATCCTGCATTATACAGTAACTCATTCTTTTCTGTAAAGTTATTGATGACCACTTCTGTTATCCTGCTCTTTACAGTAACTCATTCTTTCATTCAGTTGTTGAGTTTATATAATTTTTTTTTTTTTAGCAAATGTCTGAGGAAATTTATAAACACTAAATGGGATGCCTTCTAGAAAGGCAAATAAATAAGAGAAGCGTCTGATATCAACATTTGTAAGGCTAAAGAAGATGGTGATGTATTGGGAACATCCTGGGAAGAAGGAGACGTGGAATCACCACAAAGGCACTTAAATTGGAAACAGTTTGATTGAGAAAATGAGGTCCAAGAAAAGCCATGAGACCAATCATTGTTAACTCTTTGAGTCCCAAGGAACGCATCATGCGTTCATAGGTTCCTACCTAGAAGCCCAATGAACGCATGATGCGCCGATTTTATAACTTTCTTTACTACCCCCTGGGCCTGTGATGCTAAACCCTCTGGGACTCGAAGAGTTAATGTGAGAAAAAGGTGCTAGAGTGACTCCCATCCACGGTATGAACAAAGAATGTTCAGACAATAGAATGGGACCTTTATGTGACATATGAATGACACAGCCGGTGGAAGGTGATATTTATGGTGATATTTATTTTTAATCCTGCGTTTTACAATAGCTGATTCTTTTCTGTAGGTTTTTTTTTTAAACCATCAACTTTTGATAACTGAGTGTTAAATATTTCTGTCATCTCATATTTTGGTTATTCTCTTTTGTAGTTTTTGTTATCAGTTATTGATAACTGAGTTTTAAATATTTCTTTTATTCTGCTTTATTTTAACATTATTAAAACTAGTCATATCAGCTCATCTGAACTAATATCTGACTACATATACAACATTAATTGATTCTATAACGCTCTTGCCTCGGCAGACAATAACTGATAACAGATGTATGTGTGTTTTTGCTCTGCATTTGTAACAATAACAGACTTTGATATGTGTATGCTTAACTGATACATCACAGACAAACGTAAGAGATCTCTTCTTACAATAACTTATTAATAATTATTAATTTTATTGTGCTTGCTGCATCTGTTGGTGTTTGCGGCTAGGGTGTTGCAGACATTTTGTAATGTCGAGATGCCTAGTTTTATTCCAGCTGCAGGCGATTTTGCAACGGGTCTCTTTAAGTTGATTTTGGTAGTGGTGCAGAGAGCAAACCTTTCAGAAAGAAGTGGCAAACTACTGAACATAAAATGGCCTTGTAAAATCACAGACAGCAACAAAAGTACTGGGATTAGTATGCAGCATCCTGTCAAGGATACGCAGCTAACTTTATTTCTGTTGAATGTTATCTAGTTAGTTTTTGTTAACATAACATTAATAAATCAATAACTGGTTCAAAAACTAGGTTTCTGGTTACCGTGATAAAAGCTTCAACTGTTTGGTCTACAAATCCATATTGGAAAGACGAGATAATGAGAATAAACTAGGCAAACAGTAATCCAGTTGCTTTTGGTGGTATCCCATTCTAAGGCATAAACAAATGAGCAGTAATGTAGATAAAGATGGGCAAACTGACAGAGGTATTAAAATATGAATAGAAAAGGTAAATGGGGTTTTCGTGGCACTAGAGACAATTTAGGGAAGCCAGACGAAATTAAACGTAACACAAAACTTGAAATATATTACTCTGATGTCAAATCAGTTTTTTATAAGCTTTTATTAAGTTTGGTTTTGTTTGTTTGTAACTGTAGGTTAAGTTTTCTTGTGAAACATAAAACAATAGCTGATTTAAGTTCAATTATTTCATTTACAAAGCATGATATTATAAAATAACAGTTAATGTTTGTTTTGTTGACAACACATTATGTGATGTTACTTTAGTTTACATCTCCTATGTAGACAGTTCACTGATGTTGCTTTGTTGACATCACATATACAGCGATAACTGACATTTTGTACATAACATACACAAAGCAGCTACTGATCCCGCTGTCACTATTTTCCTAATCTGTTATTACCATATTTTATGTGTGTAAGAAGCACCATTCTGTAAGACGGTTACTATTTTTTTTAAACCTAAAATGAAGAAATAAATATTTTAATCACATTCCTTATATAAGCCTGACCGCCAATTTTTAGTAGAAAAAATTTGGGAAAACATTTCATCTTATACATGGAAAAAACTATATAGTATCTATTACAGTTGATTCCCTAAACAAACTTTTGATCTTGTTTAACACTTAACAACAGTTAAGGCTGTTGCATGAGTGAGAGCCGGTGTAGTGCCGTTCCTAGACACTTAGTTGTAGGCCTGAAGGTCTTGGCTTTCTACATCGAGTGGTTTTTTTTTACAATTAACCTAGGCTTCGAGCCTAAATGGTGTACCTTAAAATGTTCCTTGAGGTAAAGGCTGCCGTTTTGATATTGATCACATCACCCGTCGACTGCCATTTGGTCTGTAAAACATATGGATCAGTTACCATCTGCCTGATGTGCTTGTGATAAGAAGAGGGTCCTTAAAGTGAAACAAAAAACAAACAGAAAGAATATAGGATCCTTTTGACACCACTGGTGCAATGGGCATGTGATGCTAGGCTTATATTTTATGAGGACCTTTCAGCATTGGGAGGCTGATGTGGTCAAGATCCCACTGACCACCTTTCAGCATTGGAAGGAGGATGTGGTCAAGATCCCACTGACCACCTTTCAGCATTGGGAGGAGGATGTGGTCAAGATCCCACAGACCACTTTTCAGCATTGGGAGGCTGATGTGGTCAAGATCCCACTGACCACCTTTCAGCATTGGGAGGGTGATGTGGTCAAGATCCCACTGACCACCTTTCAGCATTGGGAGGAGGATGTGGTCAAGATCCCACTGACCACTTTTCAGCATTGGGAGGAAGATGTGGTCAAGATCCCACTGACCACCTTTCAGCATTGGGAGGGTGATGTGGTCAAGATCTCACTGACCACCTTTCAGCATTGGGAGGCACATGTGGTCAAGATCCCACTGACCACCTTTCAGTATTGGGAGGAAGATGTGGTCAAGATCCCACTGACCACCTTTCAGCATTGGGAGGAGGATGTGGTCAAGATCCCACTGACCACTTTTCAGCATTGGGAGGGTGATGTGGTCAAGATCCCACTGACCACCTTTCAGCATTGGGAGGGTGATGTGGTCAGGATCTCACTGACCACCTTTCAGCATTGGGAGGCACATGTGGTCAAGATCCCACTGACCACCTTTCAGCATTGGGAGGAGGATGTGGTCAAGATCCCACTGACCACCTTTCAGCATTGGGAGGGTGATGTGGTCAGGATCTCACTGACCACCTTTCAGCATCGGGAGGCTGATGTGGTCAACATCCCACTGACCACTTTTCAGCATTGGAAGGGTGATGTGGTCAAGATCCCACTGACCACCTTTCAGCATTGGGAGGGTGATGTGGTCAGGATCTCACTGACCACCTTTCAGCATTGGGAGGCTGATGTGGTCAACATCCCACTGACCACTTTTCAGCATTGGAAGGGTGATGTGGTCAAGATCCCACTAACTGCCTTTCAGCATTGGGAGGGTGATGTGGTCAAGATCCCACTGACCATGTTTCAGCATTGGGAGGAGGATGTGGTCAAGATCCCACTGACCACCTTTCAGCATTGGGAGGGTGATGTGGTCAAGATCCCACTGACCACCTTTCAGCATTGGGAGAGTGATGTGGTCAAGATCATACTGACCACTTTTCAGCATTGAGAGGGTGAAGTGGTCAAGATCCCACTGACCACTTTTCAGCATTGGGAGGGTGATGTGGTCAAGATCCCACTGACCACTTTTCAGCATTAGGAGGGTGATGTGGTCAAGATCCCACTGACCACCTTTCAGCATTGGGAGGGTGATGTGGTCAAGATCTCACTGACCACCTTTCAGCATCGGGAGGCTGATGTGGTCAACATCCCACTGACCACTTTTCAGCATTGGGAGGGTGATGTGGTCAAGATCCCACTAACTGCCTTTCAGCATTGGGAAGGTGATGTGGTCAAGATCCCACTGACCACCTTTCAGCATTGGGAGGGTGATGTGGTCAAGATCCCACTGACCACCTTTCAGCATTGGGAGGGTGATGTCACAGCAGCTTGGTCTGAAAATCCATAAAGGAAAGACAAAGATAATGAGAATAAATCAGGCAAATAGTAATGTGGTTTCTCTTAATGGCACCCCACTCCAAGACGTGGAGTCGTACACCTATTTGGGCAGTAATGTAGATAAAGATGGAGGAACTGATAGAGATATTAAAATAAGAATACAAAAGGCAAGAGGGGCTTTCATAGCACTAGGGAATTTGTGGAGGTCACAAGAAATTAAAAGAAATACTAAACTAAAAATTTTTAATTCTAATGTCAAATCAGTACTATTGTATGGTGCGGAAACATGGAGAACAACGAAGGCAATTACTAATAAATTACAGACATTCATTAACTGGTGCCTGCGCAGAATAGAGGGAATAAAATGGTATGATAGAATAACTAATGTAGAACTTTGGGAGAGAACTAAACAGGCTTCAGTGGATCAGGAGGTGAGGAAAAGACGCTGGCGTTGGATAGGGCACACACTGAGAAAACAGGAGAACAGCATAACAAGAATGTCTTTGCATTGGAACCCACAGGGGCATAGGAATAAAGGAAGGCCAAAAAACACATGGAGAAGAGAGCTGGAGAATGAGGTTAGAAAGATTGGGAGGACATGGGGAGAGCTCCAGGTAATGGCGAAGGATAGAACGACTTGGCGTGAGTTGGTTGAGGGCCTATGCTCCATTGGGGGATAGAAAGGCAGAAGAAAGAAGAAGAAGGGTGATGTGGTCAAGATCCCACTGCCACCTTTCAGCATTGGGAGGGTGATGTGGTCAAGATCCCACTGACCACCTTTCAGCATTGGGAGGGTGATGTGGTCAAGATCCCACTGACCACCTTTCAGTATTGGGAGGCTGATGTGGTCAAGATCCCACTGACCACCTTTCAGCATTGGGAAGGTGATGTGGTCAAGATCCCACTGACCACCTTTACTCTCCAGGACATTAGCTGGCATAGATTTAAGGCCAGGTCCAGCTAGAAACAAAAGTTAGGTGTTTAAAGGCTGTTGCATTGTTTGTGTGTGTTAAGTGGCTGAGTTACTTAGCAGTTTTTGTACTGAATAGTGAGCTTTTTATCAGTAATTATTTTCCTTAACTGTGAATATTCTGCCGTTAATGCTGCTAGTGTATGCTTTTTGTAGCATGGCTGGTAATTCTGCGGTTAGCAGAACTGAGTCGTTTTCTTTTGCTCCATTATCAAAATTCTGCTTTAAAAAAAAAAAAACCACAGGAGCTGGCATGTGGTTGTGATTTAACTCTTTCATCTTCTTTGCCCTTAAAATGGTGCCCTGGAGCACCCACAGGGAGTTGTTTTGTCACAAGGAAGAAGCTCCCCCTCTCCCCCCACCGGAAACAAAAATCAGATCACACATAATTGTTGCAGAGATCAAGTAGATGAGACTGCAAATCAAACTAGGGATCTCTGTATATAATTGATACTACACATTCAATTTTGGAGTTCTATATGAATCAAATGGCATGTTAAACTGTGGGCTTCTATATAAAAATGACCACATTTTAAAATCTGTCCAATATTAATGAAACTGCATGTTAAACTGCAATTTTGTATAAATTGGACGACATGTTAAACTATATTTTATGTCCATTGTACCACATGTTAAACTATTATCAATTGGACATCATGTTAAACAGTCCACACAAAAAAATTAAAGATCCCTTTTCACACCTTTAGGCGCATCGGGCATACGGGAAGAGCACCCATATTTTTACAGACCAATCAGCACTAGGTGGGTAATGTGTCAGCATTACGTCGGCTGTCTGTATTTCTCCAGGACCTATATCCTGGTACCCATTTTAGGCTGGGTCGACCTGCAACGCCCCATACCATGTTAAAAATCTACACAACCAGCAGTGGGTTTCGTTCATGGTACGTTGAAATTACGAGTCGGACTCGCAACGCCTAGGCCACAAACGTTGCTGTTTAACAGTAGAGTCCAGTGTAAATCAAACTATATGTTAAACTGTGCAATTCTATATACATGTTACTGCAAGTTAAACTATGTTCTATGTCAAATTGATCACACGTTAAGAACTATGTAGTACTATATCAGATTAACCACATGTTAACCGGTGAAATTGTATATCACATTTTTAATAGTGAAGTCTATTATTTATTAGACTGCTTGTTCAACTGTGTCCAGTAAAAATGAAACCACATGTCAAACTGCTTTGAGTCACGTGTAAATTTGCTTAGAGTTTGTGTTAACTTTAAGTTTGTTTTACAAGGGCCCCTTTTAATTCTTAATTTACTTGCATTTTGTGCAGAAACTCTCTTTTTATTTCTGTGGCTGTCCATCATGATCTTGTTAGTCTTCTCTTGCTGCATGCCCTGTGCCACCGAGTGGTCTGTGGCACTGGGAAATACTTCATAGTTAGTAGCACTGGGGAATACTTAATACTATGTGGCACTCAGGGTACTCCTGTTTGTTAGCACTTTAAGTGCTTTTTATTTTTCTGTTTTGGAAAAGAAGGGGAATTGTCTTTTTTTTAATAATTTTTTAGTGTGTGGCATTGGGAGTACTTTTAGGGTGTGGTACTTCTTAGGTGTGGCATGTTGTACTTGGGGGTACTTCATCATGTGTAGTACTGAGGCTACTTCTTATGTGTGGCATGTGATACTACTATGGGTACTTCTTAGTGTCTGGTACTATGGGTACTTCTTAGTGTGTGGCACTGGGGAATCTTCATAGTTTTGTTGCACTAGGAGTACTTCTTAGTGTGTGACCCTGGGGGGGGGGGGGGGGTACTTCTTTGTATGTGGAGTGCTTCTTAGTGTATGATACTGGATGTACTTCTTAGTGTGTGGCACTGGGGGTACTTCTTAGTTTGTGGCACTGGGAGTACTTCTTAGTGTGTGGTACTGGGGGTACTTCTTAGTGTGTGATACTGGGGGTACTTCTTAGTTTGTGCCACTAGGGGGTACTTCTTAGTGTGTGGTACAGGGAGTACTTCTTAGTGTGTGGTACTGGGGTAATTCTTAGGTTGTGGTGCTGGGGGTACTTTTTAGTGTGTGGCACTGGAGGTACTTCTTAGTGTGCGGCACTGGGGGTACTTCTTAGTGTGCGGCACTGGGGGTACTTCTTAGTGTGCAGCATTGGGGGTCCTTCTTAGTGTGCAGCATTGGGGTTATTTCTTAGTGTGCAGCATTGGGGTTATTTCTTAGTGTGCAGCATTGTGGTTATTTCTTAGTGTGCAGCATTGGGGTTATTTCTTAATGTGCAGCATTGGGGGTACTTCTTAGTGTGCAGCATTGGGGTTATTTCTTAGTGTGCAGCATTGGGGTTATTTCTTAGTGTGCAGCATTGGGGTTATTTCTTAGTGTGCAGCATTGGGGTTACTTCTTAGTGTGCGGCACTGGGGGTACTTCTTAGTGTGCGGCACTGGGGGTACTTCTTAGTGTGCAGCATTGGGGGTACTTCTTAGTGTGCTGTCTGCAATTGCTTCCTCTTCTAGCCACATTTGTGAGAAATCCTAAAATCAAACTGACCGTATGAACATCTGCCCTAAACAAATGTTGCAGAATATAATATTTGTGTCAGATTGTCAAATGTAAAAAAAGGTTGTGTATGCATGCAAAATATGAGGCAAGGAACCAACAGTCTGCATACAATTAAGTCAGATCTATTAAACGAATGTGGGCACGCAGAGCTGAGGGTCTGGAACAAGACTTCAAGTCCAGAACTTTCCGCCAGAGTTTACAGCCAGTGAAGGTGGAAAAGGAGAGGAAGAGAAATATTGTAAATATGAAAGAGTAAAGAAGGCAGGCCAAGAGGCAGCACATGGTCTCTGCAGTACTCCCCCCGGGTCTTGTGCTAGGTCTTGCTAGTCACAGCGGCCGTTGCCATCGGATGTAATTTCCTTGCCTCCCCATAGCACACATGGGAAGATGGAAGGGTGCCAACAACACATGTACAGTTGTTAGAGATCCTTAACTTTTTCAGTCCCAGAGGGTTTAGCATCAGAGGCCCCAAGGGGGTAATCAAGAGAGGTGTAAAATCGGCACTTGTTTCATTCATTGGGCTTCTAGGTAGGAATCTGTGAACGTATGATGCGTACTTTGGGACTGAAAGAGTTAATGCAGTGGCTCTCAACCTTTTTTTATTTCTACACTCCCCCTCAGACTTCCTTGTACCCCCTTCCCCAGGTTGAAAACCACTGCTTTATAGAGGCTGCTGCTATTTACCATGAATTTGTTGCAGGCTAACTGGTCATTGTTATCATTGAAATATAAGATATACAATTTAACAGATCCTGTAACAAATTTGCACATTGATTAGCATTCATAATATGGTTTCATTATTGATTTCTTAAAAAAAACTTATATCAGTAGGTTTCACAGGTCTTAGCTAATTGGAAACTTTACAGTGTTTGATCAGTTTCCAGTGAGACTCCTTGGCAAAGCTGTCAAAAACCTTCTCATAATCCAATATTATATGGTGAATTTATTTAATTGCTTTACTCTATTATTGTAAATACTGTGGCTATCTTGTCACTGTATATTGATCACATAATTTGATTAGTCCCTGACTGAGCATTGTGCGTTTGTTTTCTTTCAGTGGCCAATCCGTTTGGAGTGGGGCCGCCAGTTGGACTGCCAGCGTTTTCTGGTGCCGCACCAACCTCCACAGTCAACCCCTTTCAAACTGCCATGGTTGCTGGCATGCCCACGTCAACGTCTGCCGGCTTTAGCGGCCACTTTGCCATGCCAGGGCAGCCGGGCGCAGGATTCAGCCAGTTTGGCCACATGCAGAATGGAGGGTTCGGCATGGTCCCCTCTTCTGTGGGGTACGGTGGAGCAGGAGCTTTCACACAGCAACAGTTCATGATGCCCACACAGCCACCGGGAGTTCCGCAAGCAGGAGGCTGGACACACATGGCGGCCATCCCTGTATCACAACCTGTTGCCAATCCTTTCATGGTGATTGCAATTTGTCGGTCTACTTGTCTGTATTCCCTCATTGCTAAATGTATGAGTTCCCTCGCTGTATTCTTTTGTGCTGCTTCATTATTATTTTTGTCCCCCACATTGTTATAATTACGTGTTCTCATATTGTCTGATGTATCCGTGTTCCTCGTTGTTTTATTTATTTGTCTATCTGTATATTTTTAGCCACAGTGTTCAGTTGTCATTTGAGTTTGTGTTATTGTGAGGCTGACTGGTTATTCTTGTCATTTGGTTTGATATCTTTTCATGATACCTGAAAGATGGATCACCCCTGAGACTTCAGGAGTCTTGTCTTGTGTGGCAGACATCCAGGGCAAATGCCAGGTACCCTGTTCAATATCCAAAGAGGTTTCCCCCCCCCCCCCACCCCTCCCAACCACCTCAGCTCCCTGCTGTTATGTTATCTGTCCTAGCATTATTCTGTTTTTCTGTGTCCCATCACTCTTCTTATTGTCTTTTATATTTTTTGTGTTCACATATTTTTATATTTATCTGTTTTCCATCACTGTTCTGTTAAGCTGTGTTCTCACACGGTTCTGTTAAGCTGTGTTCTCACACGGTTCTGTTAAGCTGTGTTCTCACACGGTTCTGTTTAGCTGTGGTCTTACACGGTTCTGTAAAAGCTGTGTTCTTACACGGTTCTGTTAAGCTGTGCTCTTACACGGTTCTGTTAAGCTGTGTTCTCACATGGTTCTGTTAAGCTGTGTTCTTACATGGTTCTGTTAAGCTGTGTTCGTACACTGTTCTGTTAAGCTGTGTTCTCACATGGTTCTGTTAAGCTGTGTTCTTACATGGTTCAATTAAGCTGTGTTCTTACACGGTTCTGTTAAGCTGTGCTCTCACATGGTTCTGTTAAGCTGTGTTTTTACACGGTTCTGTTAAGCTGTGTTCTTACATGGTTCTGTTTATCTGTGTTCTTACATGGTTCTGTTAAGCTGTGTTCTTACACGGTTCTGTTAAGCTGTGTTCTTACATGGTTCTGTTTATCTGTGTTCTCACATGGTTCTGTTAAGCTGTGTTCTTACACGGTTCTGTTAAGCTGTGTTCTTACACGGTTCTGTTAAGCTGTGTTCTCACATGGTTTTGTTAAGCTGTGTTCTTACACGGTTCTGTTTATCTGTGTTCTTACACGGTTCTGTTTATCTGTGTTCTTACACGGTTCTGTTTATCTGTGTTCCCTCTTTGAAGACTAAATCAGGGACACAATAACTGATGAAATAGAGAGTGCAAAGAAACAATACAATTCATAATCTGTTTAAATAATTGCAGGGATTATTAAGTCATGTATAAAATATATATTATATATATATATATATATATATATATATATATATAATATATATATATATATATATATATATATATATATATATATATACATATATATATATATATATATATATATATATACATATATATATATATATATATATATATATATATATATATATATATATATATATATATATATATATATATATATATATATATATATATATATATATTATATATATATATATATATATATATATATATATATATATATATATATATGGAGAGAGAAAAGGAAGGAACATACACACTTTATTTTTAGTGGGTTAAGAATTGGGCATGCATGCCCATCTAACATTCTGCCTTTAAGGTCTCCCTCCGTTCTTACTTCATTTCATTGATACATCAAGTAATTGTAAACATTCTCAAAATATCCAATACAAGCACTGAAATGTGCACTTTTCTAACTACAATAAACCCTAAAAGTTTTAATAAGTCTAAGGAAAGTGTGTGCTATTTCTAAAATATATTTTTTTTCTTAAATGGATGCATGTAATCTGTGCTCAGATAATATTCAAACAGTTTCCAATTGTATGTGTAGGGGCTAGTTGTATGTTTGGTTTGTTTGTGGAAGACAGTTCCACAGTTGAGCTACAGAGTACGCCAAACTTGTTTTCTATAGGTCTGTCCTAAGTTTAGGGATATGTGATATGTTTAGGCGTTTACTATGCCTACCATTATATTTAAACAATAGCCATAAGTAAGACTGAACATTTTGGGATAAAATTTTGTGAATAAATTTGGCCTTTTTGAAAAGTAGACGTTCACGAAACAGTAGTAGCATAAGACCTATATATATATACCTATATATATATATATATATATATATATATATATATATATATATATATATATATATATATATATATATATATATATATAGAGAGAGAGAGAGAGAGAGAGAGAGAGAGAGATCAGAAAAACAAAAACTACATGATAAAAAGCCTGGTTAGTGAAGACCAAAGGTTGCCCAAGCAGCATAATTACTTTCTTTTACTAATCTGTTCACTCCAAAGGAATAGTAACACCAGTATGTTTGGAACAAAGCATATTGCTTTTTTTTTTTAAATTATAATTATTTTGCAGTAGATTAACCAGATACTGTGACTCTTGTTTCATTATATCATTGTTTTCTGCTATTATACATCATGTTGAACTCAGAGTTTATCCTTCTATTTCTTTCTATTCTTTACAGTTCTTTTTAATATTAATGATGAGATCCAGCCCACTACCTTTGGCCTTTCCCGTCAACATTTATTTTAGTAGGTGTGTGTGTGTGGACATCCTTGATTCTTCAGATCATTTAATTTGTTTCCCATTTAAGTGACGTCTGGTGTGTGTCTCTCTTTCCCCCCCCCCCCCCCCCTCCCCCACTTCCCAGTATGTGTCCAGTATATTGCATCGTTCTTTTTCTTATAACTGTTGGTCCCATCGGTCATCCAGAAATTTATCTTTCGCCTTTCTTGAATTCATCCCATTTTTATGTTTATCAGTTTCCTTAGGTGGTGTTGTGATTGTTTTACAGTTTCATCCATTACAATTATTTGTTTTACAGTCTCATTACAATGATTTGTTGTACAGTCTCATTACAATGATTGCTTTTAATTTTCTGTCCACAGAACACAGCCATGCATCAAGTCCCACCACCCAGTGGCTCCACCAACCCATTCTTGTGACTACCTTGATAGCTATAAATAACTTGACCTAGTTTGAAACTAGGTCGCATTGAACTTGTATCATAGCTGGTGCATCCAGCACACCACCTGAGATAAATGGATTGACATATTCTGATTGGTCCAGCAAAACCTGCACTTCAGCTTTCAGTGTTTCCATGGTGATTTACTTCTGTATATATATATTTACCGGACCTAGTAACTGGGTTAACAAGGCCAGATTTTTTGTTTTTCATGGTTGGCAAATGGCTAACTGGAATATGGGCATCGGATGGATATGAATAGTCAGCTTTAATTATATTAATTATCATAAGTATCATTATGGATATCTGATTTTATATTCTCTTTTCACTTTTGTGACATTATTTCACATAATTGTTTTGCTTTTAATTGTCTGCGAGTGTTTTCATTTTTACATTGTCACACAGTTTTCTTTGTTTGAAAATGCATTGCCTTTTTGTTCCTTTAAACCTTTAATTGTTGTTTTGTTTCTTTGTTTTGATTAAAGAAGAGCTCTTTAATGTAATAAAGAGTTTCAGGGATGCACAGATTTGTAATCATCATCATCATCATTGGTAAGATAAATTATTATAGGTCACTCAGCTGTAAAGAAGTTACTGAGGCACAGTGGCTGGATGCTCACCTGCCAATCCTAGAGTCTTGGGTTCAAATCCATAGTGAGCATCATCATATAGCAGGTCCTTTGCAGAATGTTGCTCTCATCATGGTCTGCCTGAAAGAAATTGGGTCTCTATTGGGCTGTCCCGCCTCTTGCACTTTCCTGTGCCAGGTATCACTTATATATTAATGTACCTATCTTTGTGCTGGTCACCGTCTGTCTGTCTTTCCTTGTTACATGCCTGCTATTATTATTTTACCTAGTCTGCTGTGGTGCTTGATGTGGCCAGAATATTTCTGAGGCAAGATGTTCTTTACCGGTATGCGTAGTTTCTTTGGATAATAATATGGTAGTTTTCCGTCGCAAACCATATTTACATGGCTTTAGACCTGCCGGTCGCGACCCTTTTTGGGTCAAACAACCCTTTCACAGGGGTCGCCTAAGACCATCGGAAAACAAATATTCATTAAAATAATGAAAAATAATATTTTTTGGGGGTTAGCCCCAATATGAGGAAACTTTTAAAGGGTCGCTGCATTAGGAAGGTTGAGAACCACTGGTTTAGGCTAAGTGCTCAACCTGTTTACCAAGACAAGTGGATGATCTGCTCTGTGATACTCCTGCTAACAGCAGAGGGCACCCCAGACTTGTCCGCTTGTACCGGTGGATACACACTGCCCGTTGCTGTGTTGGCCACACTGCAATGTGTTTACCGTCCGCTACCAAGTGGAGGTGCAGTTGCAGAATGGACAGATTTTTTCTAAATTACCCAGGACTCCCGGGTTCTAACAGCCTCAAGCATGTCCTGGGAAGTTAAGATGGCCAGGGTAGTGTAATGTTCATCGCAGCACCGAAATAGTGCTGCTTGGCTGTAGCACAATAAGCCCAGCATGCACACTCATTGAATGCATAAGGCAGCCGTCAGTGGTGCCTAAACAAACTAATGAATGTTAGGTGCAAAGGCATGATGTTCTCCAGCATGAGCCCTAAGTATTTAACCATTTGGTCAACCAAGGGGTCATGACTGAATCATTTAACTTTTAATTAACTCCAGGAAATAATTTACTTGGCTTGAATAAAGTATTTGTAAAACTAATAATTTCTGGATATGGCCACTTTAAAACCAAATTAATGACTCACATGAACACCATAATAGAATTCTCCACACACAGAATGTTTCATTTTAGCCTTTTGGTGATGATGTGATTGGACAGCCTTAAAAGTCTATGGTTAAGCACCAGCAAGGAGATAAAAATTAGAATTTTGAGAGCATGCATCTTCCCTGTGGCTACATACGGATGTGAGTCGTGGACTATCTCTCAGTCCTCAAGAAAGAGAATAGGGGCTTTTGAGCTGAAATTCTATAGAAAGATTCTCAGAATATCTTGGACAAAGAAGAAGAAAAATATTGACATCTTAAAAGATCTGAACATCAAGGAAGATTGGCTAATAAAAGGCATCCTTTT